TCAGGAGGGACCCTTTTTATGGTCTCTTCTTTGTCCCTTGAATGTCCAACGACGAGGGGCGGCATGTGGGTGACTGGCGTCCCCCGAGGGTTGCTGGAAATATCCTTTTTTTTTATGTCGTCGATGGCATTGGAGTTGTTTGATAGGTTTGAACGAGCATCATGGGATTGATGTTAGATACTCGAGGATGCTGGAGTACGCTGGTGTGTATTGTCCGACAGTGATTCCTGCTAGATCCTGACCGTAATTTCTTTTTGCAAAATATTAGTTTAACCATTTGCCTTACATCTTCTCAGATATTATTCGTTTTCTTCGAGTCGACGTAGAATACTGTATCGCTGGTATTAAAATTTCAGATTTGGAATAAATGTGACACTTGTCTAAAAAATAGAATTCCTTTTTTATCTGGGAAAATATTAACGATAAAGTAATTCTTGAGAGTGAAGTCGTGAAAGAAATCGTATGTCAAGGGGTTAAACTCACAGAATTTTAAGGGGACAAATACTAGGACTGTGAGACTTATACTAATGTATCTACTCATTGAGTTCAGGAAAAAATGTTTAATCAACGTAGGTTGTAAAATCGATCCTTTCGATGTAAAATTAATATTTATAAACGTTGGATGATATGGTATGATGCGTCTCTTGGCAATATATAAACCGTAAACAGAAAAATTGGTTCAGGAGTACATTAATACTTGAAAATGTCTGTCGATTTATGATCTGCAAATGTGAGTTTCATATTGAAATAAAAGGAAAACCATAAAGCATACATACTTGAATAAAACTTCTATATTTTTCTTTGACAGGATTGATTTTAGGACCTACGTTAATTAGAGGTGTTTTACTCCTCTCAATAAGTAATATAAGTCCCTGAAATATTAAATTCTTTTTCGATCACAATTAACTGAACCAATTAATATGGTTTGAGATGCACAAGTAGGTACTAATGGTACCAAACTAAAGGCTAAACGTTCCGGATTCACGGGTGCAAATGTAATTATTAATCTCACGCGTTAATTCGACCATTGTCGATACATCATCGCGGAAAACATAAATTTCCTCGAGAAGAAATACGTGCTAGTAGAAATTCATTTTTCGAACTAGCTTGCAACGGGAAGCGATCGCGACTAGCGTCCTTTATTAATGAGAAATATCGAAGAGCACCGTATTCTGAATTACAGCGAGAGAAATTACGCGGTCGAGCGTGCGAGAAGATTAACTGCCGTGCCGATATTAAGTGTCCCTGTTCGCGACTACTTCATCCGAAATTCATTCACGTCGTTCTCGAACTCCATTTGCGGGGGTACGGTGCCGAGGACGGGGACAATGAACTTTACACCTTAATATATTAGGTAGAGAATTCGACATTATTCGTATAACCATTTACGTATGTAGAGTACCGTATAGAGTACCGAGTACGAAACTGTTCTTGTGTTTCGTAATTTACGTTGACACAGAGCTCTAAGTTCCTGGTTCTAGCATTGAAATCTCTCGCCAGGCGACTTGTATTATCAATGGGAACTACCAAAGCAGCAAAAATGACTGGTTCGTAAAATTAAATATCGTAATAGTGTATTTTCTGGGATTATTCGCAATTTTTATTGCAATATACACTGGTAGCTATAAGACGATCCCAAAATTTTCAATCCTTATGTATTGTGGTGAAAATAAAAACGAACCACTTGTTTCCTAGGGAATATAATCGATCCTTTTCTGGAGAAATATTATTTGTGCATTATTGAAATTTAAAATAATCAAGCTTCCAGAGATTATGACTGTTTACATTCGTCCTCGTATCTTCTAATATTTCTGATAAATCATTTAACATAAAAAATGGTTTATAAAGAGTCTTGAGGATTGAACTTCCTTTGAAGCAGTTAATAGTCCACTAGCCAAATAACACTCAATTTTTCAAAGAATCCATTTCCTCCTAAATTTATTATTTAAAAAGTTATATAGAATAAATTGAATCCCTGTACCGAAAGTGACTTGTTAATTAAAACGTGAAAATTATCCTTGTCGCTTTCAGCCACCAATATTAAAAGGAGCTGGGTTCATGGACTTGGCCACGACGACGTCGCGTAGAATCTCATAATTATGCAAGATGTAATGGCGTGTCATAGACGACAGGAAGCGTCGTCGTGCGATACCGAATCAGCCATCCGGGGCTCTAGACATCGTCTAAGTTTATTTATTCTGTGTGCTCCGTGGTTTCGTGTATTACAGTACCGTTACGATTGCATCTGTCGAAGAACGAATGTGAATAGAGAGTGAGAGAACACGTCTCAGCGTTTCTTGTTTTTCGGGGTAGACTGCGGGGATCGAGAGCAACGCGGAAAATCGTGCCTGCCCGCGGCTCCCATTGTCGCACGCGATCTATACACACGCGATACATTTGCATTTTCGTATATACGGTCTCGTGCTGTATTCTTAGTTTTCTATGAAAGTATAATTCGTTATTACTTGTTTAATTTTCAACACAGTATTTGGATGATATTTCAATCGTAAATGCATTCGTTTGTTTTTTTGAATTGTGTGATAATTCTCTAATAAACAAAATTAGTTCAGAAAGAACGTATACAGTGATAGAGATAATAGAAATAACAGTGGTATACTGTTTGGATGACCATTAGATTGTAGGTAAGATGTAAATAAATAAAAGTTTGCTTCACAATAATGAATTATTTTGTGTTTCTAATTAAATCGATAAACTAATTAGAAATACTAATCGTAAATCGATAAACTAATTATAAATTTAGAAATACATTAATCGTTCGAGTAAATAATAGAAATAGAAACAGAATGCATTGAACATTATAAAAAGACAAATTTAAGTGCCAATGTAAGTCGAGCTTGGTACAACTTTAGCTGTTAATCCTATTTATATGATGTGCCGTTAATTAACATGTATTAAAGAAGGAAAAGGACAATTACATTATACAGCAAAGTGTCATAAAAACTTGCAAATAGTCCCCCAATTTACGGTATTTACTTGAAGAATTCTCCGATTGTTTAAAGAGATAAAATACAGTCAAGTAGCTGACAGTAGTAATAATTAATCGAATAATAAAACACAAATCTGCGCAGAGAAACTTCTTTTATCCCTATAATTAATATGTAAAGTGAGTTATGCTCACAGATCACGCGAATGCTTTTTAACAGGGGAACGGAATTAAGTATGCATCAGGAGTTACATCAAAGGGGAGCGACAACAAAAAAAAAAAGGGGGAGAAATAGTTACGGAATGAAACAATCTTAACGGGACAAAGGAGGAAGCGTTGAAAATTCCTGAATGAAACCGTTCCAAGAATTAGCGTTCTTAGGCGTCGCCACGCTCACTCGAATTTAGCGTGTTACTCGGAAACACCGACCGGCCACATGCCTGATTTGTCTCGCGACCAAACGGAACACTCCGGTCCTCCATAAAGAAGACACATGACGTAGAAAACGACCGACAAGAAAACGCGAACGCCTTAAGTCTTCTTTAAATACGGCGTGATCGATGATCCAGCGGGGGCGGCTCGTAGTTTCATGAAATCGTTCGGGATATTAGGTATGCTTGGGCGAAGTTCGGTCGTTTTTCGTCTGGCGAACGTGTCTAACTTAATCTCAGTCACCGACAGAGTGTCCATTACTCTCAGAGATTGCTTTTCTTTCGGGGTGTTTAGCTTCTTGCTTGAAAATTAGAATTTTTTTTCAGCGGGGTTAGATTTTGGAAGCAAAAAAGTTTTGGAACCAGGGACTTAAACCAGTTTGATTTTAACACCGGTATTATGGCATCAAAGCTATACTGAAACCGATATATTATCGAAAATCGAAATAAATACCGGTATTTTTTCGGTTTCTATAAGAGTAGGGCTTATATAGGGCTCTATAGGGCGAAGGTACAACCGAAAATACTGGCATTTTACATTTCGGTAAAAGTCCCTGTTTGGAAGAATTTGTACGAAATTATCCATATCAGTATTCTATACATCCATGACTGAAAATATCATATATTTGGTACTATGAGTACTTTTTTGTAATAGCCAGTACTCCCCCGATTAGTGTACGCTAGGCACCCCGGATTATTGCACACTATACTTGACACTCGAGTTCTTGCTTAGAAATTAGACTATTTCTTCAGTGGGATTCGTCATCGAAAGTTCTAACATTTGGAACAGTCTGTAGAAAATTATCCGTAGTAGTATTCCTAATATTTAGGACTAAAAATATCGTGCATTTAGTACCCTGAGAGAAGAATCAAAATCTCTATTTTCTATTTTCTACCAACAGATTTAGACGCAGTTGTCGATCAAAAGAATCTTAACGAACTTAATGTCCTCCTCGGATTAGTGTACGCAAGCCACCCCGGATTACTGAACACTATAGCCTTCACTTGGCACTCAAATCCACAGAATACTCTATCATCACCCAAAGAAGAATCAAAATCTCTATTTTCTATTTCCTAACAACAGATTTAGACAGTTGTCGATTAAAAGAATCCTAACGAATTCAATATCCTCCTCGGATTAGTGTACACAAGCCACCCCGGATTATTACACTAGGCACTCGAATCCACGGAATACTCTGTCATTACCCAAAGAAGAATTAAAACCACTATTTGAATTCAATATCCTCCCCGGATTAGTGTACGCAAGCCACCCCGGATTACTGCACACTATAGCCTTCACTTGGCACTCGAATCCACAATATACTCTACCATCACCCAAAGGGGACCAAAAAGAAATTGGATCTCTATTTTCTACCAGCGAACCTTCTGAAGGTTTCATGTAACTCAGTTACCAATCAAACTTAATACCAACGAACAATTATAGTAATGGCGTCACGGTCGAAACGTTATCGAGACACGTTATTTTCCACAGCTGAACGATCGTCTTCCTGCAACCACGAATTATGACATACGGCATCCTGTATACGGCCTCGAGGATTGTACACCTGGTGTAATAAGCGGCCAGGAATTATGATTCTGATGCTTCTTTCTGGTTCACCTTGCAGGTGGCGCGGAATCAATAAACACGCGATGGAGAGAAGAAAGTGATCCAAAAGAAAAATCGAAACGGAAGCGCCATCGCTCGACCTCGGGGGGGTTCACGAGATGGAGACTTTTCTCGGCGCGCGCGTCAGTCTAGAAGCCCGCGCGTAGAATCAGGATCGTGAACCGGGGGAAACACACCGCCGTCGTGCTACCGATCCAAGATGGGCAAGTGTTGCAGCAAGCGGCAAGAGCCACAGCCTCTCGGTAAGTAGCCCACCCCCAAAGAACTTCGTTCCCCATCCGGTATATAACTTCCACTCACGGGGCTCTAAAGTTTTCTTTTCCTCGAGGCTTTTCGTTAACGCTTTAAGTATCCTTCGAGAAAGTTTCTGAGTGGCCGTTGAGGACTTGGCTAGCGGGTAGAGCCAAGGATTGGCTATACGGCTGAAGAACAAACGCTGGGTGGCGATTTAACTCAATTCCTTTTGATTCGAGACACCTTATGATGAATTTTTTGTTTTCTCTTTGGAATTTTTTAAAATTATCTGAATACTTTTGGAAACATTTCTCTGTAGCTATCAAGGGGCTATGCTAGTGTGACGACTATGATAAGGGAATTTTTGGGAATTTTTTAAAGAAAAATTATTCAACTTATCAATTTGAATAATATATATATTTACTAAATAATATTTGTAAAGTATGCTATATTTTTATAAAGGAAAAACCATTATATTTTTTAAAAGTTACAAATTTCCTTTCCATGGCGGCCATAATATAGATTCTTGTAGTTGTGCGAAATAAAAAAAAACAAATATTTTCTTAATTTGTATGTGTGTGGCTATATCTCGTACCAGAATAATTTTAAAAATTTGAGAAATAAAAATATGGCGCTTTCCCAAACAACAGGTTTAATTTATTTACATAACAATGGCTGGTTTTTTAACCCGCAAATTTGTAATTTTTAATATATCGAAAAACTCGTGTTACTGGCTAGAATGACACATCTGATGAACAGATATACCAAGTTTGAATTAAATCGATCAGTTTTTAAGTTTTCAAGTACTGTTTTAGATTATAAAAACAGAAATGTTTCATACTAACAGCTAATCACCTATTCCCGGCCATATAATACACCTTCCTCTTCCTAAAAAAATTGTTGGAAATTGCAAAAAAGAAAAATCCGATTTTCTGAAACCGTCACACTAGCATAGCCCCTTAAGGATTCGGTTAACGAGACAGTGACGACGGATGTATGACTAAAGGAGCAGATATATTATTCAGAACAATAGATCCAGTTGACCCAGTCTCTTGGGGTCTAATGTAACGGAATGCTGTCTCATTGATTCATTATACAAGATTCCATTTTTGGCATTTCTGCTCACGTCTTGAAGTAATTTAACATGACGATTGTCCTTTCCACTTACTCTCCCTTGTCACTTCCTTACCAATATACCCATCTAATTCACTTCTATTTTAATCGTTGCATTCTCTTTTCTTCATCAAGGATCCGATCCAACAAAGGGTAATTAACGATTCTGGCGATCTAATGAAAACCTTAATGCACGTAAAAAAAAAAAAACAAATTTGCCATAACAACTGTCTCAATCCAGGTACCAAGAAAGCAGACACCTGGCTGAGCTCGAAACACAGCAATGGAGGCTCCTTGGACCGATACACCGCGGATCCGAATCAGAGGGGGGTCCAGGCGAGGGCGGATATCATACGACCGAGGCCGACACCTTGTAAGCCACTGATACCGCATCAGCCCCGTAAACCAATCTCGCCTGTCGTTATGCCTGCATGTGTGTATTTTATGTTACTTTTTTTATTTAATTTCGTAGCCTAGAATTCTTATCTTAAATTACGAGCGTAGTACGATCCAGCTTCATAAGTCTGACTTTTGTTCCTCGACGTTAAAGTCGAGATTTCCGTTGCATTAGCTTCCGTCATTAGCTGCCTGTTAAGCTTATAGAGTAAGTTGGTTCCACCGACTCGCAGAAGCTGTGGCACAAAGCGTGTCTGGGTTCTGCGATCGCGAGGACAATGTTCAATCGTAACCAGTAGCAACGCAACGAAATCAGAGGATTCGGCTGCTCCTTGAACCAACCCCCGAATGGGGTGTGTCTGACGGAACGCCTCGTGTAAATTGGTTCGTTCTTGAAACAGCGCATTCACAAAGGTCGAACAGGATCGTGGTGGCTATGTACCATTACACTGCTCGCGAGAGCGCCGACGTCAGTTTCGTGAAGGGCGACCGGATGGAGGTGTTGGACGACTCGGAGCCCGGCTGGTGGAAAGTTTTGCACTTGACAACTTTACAAGAGGGCCTGATTCCTTGCAACTTCGTCGCCGTCGAGCGTTCTGTGGAGAGCGAAGAGTGAGCCCTTTCATTAAAATTAATTTACCAAACCATATATATACACTCTTCACCCTACTTAGTATATTGCATAACGAAATGTCTGTTCAGTTGGTTCTTCGAGAACGTCTCGCGTAAGGAGGCCGGCAAGTTGCTTCTCGTGGACGAGAACCCGCGAGGAACGTTCCTGGTGAGACCCAGCGAGCACAATCCCAGGGGCTACAGTCTGTCCGTGAAGGACTGGGAAGAGGGAAGGGGCCATCACGTGAAACACTATAAAATTAAACCACTGGACAATGGGGGTTTCTTCATCGCCACCAACCAGACCTTCCCCACCCTGCCGGCTCTTGTCATGGCGTACAGCAGTAAGCGCTGAATTTCAAACTTCTCTACAATAGTTTACGTTTTAATAATACAATAAGGGATGAGATTCTTGGCTTACTGGGAAGCTTTTGTTCAAATTCATGGGGTATTCGTGAAATAGGGGATTAAACTTCAGGACTATGTTCTACTGGTGAGTTCTGATGAGAATGGACTTAGGAGGAATGGGGATCTTATGGATCAGAGATACTGTCACGTGACTAACTAGGAAAGACACGGAAGTGTCCCCCGCCGATTTTGATGAAACTTCGTATGGCTGTTAAGCAGTCAAACATAAGGGATACGTATTTTTTTTATACGCTGAGACGCGACTTTAAGGGGTGAAACCACCCCTCAAAGTTTCGACGCGAAAGTACGATTTTGAAAACCAAAGGAGATATAGGAAAACTTCTAATGGACGAGGGTTGCGGTATTTTTATGTAGAATAATATGGTGCTAACAAATTGTCCAAAATATAATTTGTTTGTAACAAAAAAATTTCGGATCGAAACTTCAAGGGGTGGTTTCGCCCCTTAACCCTTAAATACATAATTTATTTATTTGTCGTGAAAAAATATATTTGGTAGACTTGTACATACTAATGCAAGGAAAACTAGAGAAAATTTTTTTAATAATTCTTAATGGCGTTTTATTAAAACAAACTACCTGTTGCAGATATACAAAACCATGCATGTACCCGACATTAATGTTTACAATTTATCTATGAAAACTTCTGAAACAATTCTTGGCTTTAGTAAGGCAAAGATGATTTATTACATAGAAATATGTTATTGTATGTACTTACCTTTAAAAATCAGTTTATTACACAGCAAAACAAAACCGCAATTCTGGTATCCAAGAAATTTCCGAGAATCTTCACTTTGTCAAAGCAAAAGTGACATTTGACATTCGCGAAAGAAAAAGGTGTTACCACTCGATAAAATATAATGTCCGTGAACGTCAAAGTCGCGTCTGATAAAAAAAAACGTATCCCTTATTTTTGATTGCTTAACAGACGTACGAAGTTTCATCAAAATCGGAGGGGGAGGCTTCAATGCCTTCCCTTATAAGCGCCATTGGTCGGTGTTCCTCACGATCCCCAAACACTTCACTACTACAGTGTCCGACAGTAGCCAATCAGTGAAGCATTTACTTCACCTAAGATCCACTTTCATCAGACTCCAACAGTACATACCATAAGTAATTAAAAGAAATAATACAAACATGGGTTATTTTATCCCCAATACTCTCCCATCGCTCAGAGACTGATGATGCAAATGTTTAAATTATAATCAAATACAATCATCATATAATCGTTTTAAATATAATTACGACCTTCCAGAGAACGCCTTGGGTATCTGCCACGTGCTTGCGAAACCATGCCCGAAACCTCAGCCGGACATGTGGGACCTCGGGCCCGAGCTACGGGACAAATGGGAGATCAACCGGAACGAGATACAACTGATCCGGAAACTTGGCCACGGTAACTTCGGGGAGGTCTACTACGGCAAATGGAGGAACAAAATCGAAGTGGCTGTGAAAACGTTGCGACCCGGGACCATGTCCACCGAGGCGTTCCTTCAGGAGGCTGCGATTATGAAACAGTTCCGGCACCGACATCTGGTGGCGTTGTACGCTATCTGCTCGAAGGAGGAACCGATCTATATCGTGCAGGAGTACATGTGCAACGGTAGCCTGTTGGATTTCCTGAGGACCGGTGATGGCAAGTACATGCAGTTCGAGGATCTAATCTATATAGCGGCGCAAGTAGCCTCAGGCATGGAACACCTCGAGGGCAAACAATTGATACACAGAGATCTAGCTGCTAGGAACGTGCTCATAGGGGAGAAGAATAAGGCGAAGATCTGCGACTTTGGTCTAGCCAGAGCGATCGAGGACGACGAGTACTGCCCCAAGCAGGGAAGCCGATTCCCTGTCAGGTGGACAGCACCAGAAGCCATCGTCTATGGTAGATTCAGCATCAAGAGCGACGTTTGGTCCTACGGTATCTTGCTGATGGAGCTCTTCACTTATGGCCAAGTTCCTTATCCTGGTGGGATTTATTGAATATTTATACTGTTTTGTTTTTTCTGTATAGTGTCTTTTTCGCTAATGTATTGGCTGGCCACTTCGTTTCCAGGTATGCAAGGCCGCGAGGTTATAGAGGAGATAAACAAGGGCTACCGTATGCCGAAACCATTGAATCATCCGCTGCCGGACAGCATTTATCGATTGATGCTGCAATGCTGGGACGCCAGCCCCGAGAAGCGGCCCACGTTCGAGTTCCTGAATCACTATTTCGAGTCATTTAACGTCACTAGCGAAATACCGTATCTCGAGCCGCCAACGGACTGATACACAGCTCACATGCCGAGTCACCTGATGCCGCACGGTCATTTCCATCCAGCGCACGTCAACTGTGCCATGGAGTTTTATGGTATTTACTGCTAAAGTCTCTCCGATCGTAGTATCGCCACGGTCGGGGGCGCGCAGACTCTTTCTGAATTCCAAAAGAAACAAAAAAAAAAACAAAAAAACCGAAATGACAGAGTGTACGATCGTGCTGAAAAGAAAAAAAAAAAGAAAGGAAATCGAGGAACACTACTGCAGTGGCTACGGCGGCAAGAATTTTTCTAAACGTTACCAGATTTCTCGAAGCAATCGTTACAAACGCTGCCAAAATTCCCATGGTGTTCGCGAGTATACTTAAGTGTTCTTTGCCCCGTTTCTTTTTATTTTGAAATCTTTTCGAATTCAACCTCGAGATAAGCTACCCAAGAAGAATGATCTTGTGTGCCATGGAACTTTATTAACGGAAAAAAAAAAAAAAAGAAAATAAGAAGGGGAGAAACGAAGTCTTGTTCGTACCCGCGTACGAGTTGTTCAAGGCTCTCGTAACTTTAGCGACCAATCGTGAATAACTGCCGACTAGTACCAAGTCATACGACTGATAATAAGATTAATAGAATCTCTACCCGTTACGTATCCAGTATCTATTTAAGGTTTAAACGAAATCGTTCATCGTTCGAGGTATTTAATAAGGCATTTTCACCATTTCGAGAGTGTACGAGGGAGAAGTATACACGGATAGTGTGGTATCGATAATCGTTAACGTGGTGGACGGGAGAGAAAACTGTGGTTAGAGGGTAGACGAACAGTACGCGTCGAGAACTAAATGTAGAGTCTTAAATGGTAGAAGATGTAACCGATTTAATAATTAGTCGATGTACGATCGCAGCGCAGAAAAAAAAAGGGAAGCGTTCGCTTCTCGTTGATCTCGAATCGGTCGCGAACCGAGCTTTCCTACGGATCCAAATCCACCGTTCGTTCTTCGGACACGGTGGAACTCGCGGATCCCATGATTTCACTCGAACACGGTTCATTGGATGCACAAAATCTGCGACAGGACCGAATCACACGTCCTACCGGTAATTGTGTAGACTGGGAGCGAAACTTCTTGTTTAGTTATGGGAACGACACGCGTCGCGTAGAACAATATTTTATACGAGAGATTGATACGTTTTCTACGTGACTGACGGGGGAAAGAAAGGTAACGGAAAGGAAGAAGCTCTTTTTCGAATGTACTTTCGTTCTACGAACGGTGTAACCAATACACGATTCGTCAAGCACACGATATACGTTTCTTGTAATATACGTATTATTATTTTCCACTGTGATTGAAAGCCTGTAGAGGAGAGCGTCAAGAGAGAATCGTTGTTTCTCGTTTGTGTTCCCTTTTTGAATTCGATGAAACACGAGAGGTGTGTAGGGGAGAAAAGTTACTAGGCACCGGAAAAGTACGTTTAGGAAGCGACATTTGTCGACGTTCCCGTAGATTTAGAAAACATGGAATCAAGGGAACTGGTTATCGAGGTAAAGAATTAAGTCATCGATGTTGCTCGTACAAACGTGTTTGAAGAAATTCTTTTGAGAAAAGAATTTTCTACTAAGCACACAAGGAAACGACAGGTTTTAGAGTAGAGGTTAGGCGGTAGCCCGTGAAGTAGGTGTAAAGAAAGAATCAGAAAAATTTCAGTATCCTCGGGATGTGAAACGCGATCAGTGTGAATCTTTCTTTTCTAATTGTCGATCCCGATCACGGTTTCGATTCCGAGGACACATTGTTGTCGTCATGGTCGTCCCTCCGCGGAACGTATCGTTAGACGTAAGTCCCTAGAAGTACATTGAACTATGTCACGGTAAAAAAAAGGAAACACGATGAGCCATTATGACACTTTAGATATTAACGTTTAAACGAATAAGAAAACAATTGAATAAGTGAGAGAGAGAGAGTGTGTGTGTGTGTGCAAAAGAGAGCAAATGAAGGAACGAAAGAGAAAATATGAGAAATGAGACATGATGCGAGTGTAGTGAATTGTTACACCTGTGTCCTGTGCGGTGTTTTTTCTTTTTCACGCGCATCTTGCCGTGACATTAAGAGACCAGCAATAAAATGTCGCGCTCTTCGTACGTCCCATCACTCAATAGAATCATTCATTATTCTCACGAAATCGCAATGAGAAGCGAAGTGCACTGAAATCTGACAATTGTATCCATCGTATAGAGACGAAAAACGTTGGTTGCTCAAGGTCACCAATAACCCAGAACTAAGGGTACAATTCTCCCTAACTATTTCTTCTGTACAATTAACTATTCTATGAAATCAGAACATAAAAAGAATATACTAATTGTAAAAAATGTAAGCTGAAACTAAAGTAACCACATTGTGTTACTTTTTGAAAGTATAAAATCCTGTAGACAGGTATTTTATGTTTGATAGGTAATTACCAAACGTGACTTTAAGCAATCAACCCTTACGTCCATTACAGTTCTGACTGCAAACATCCCCAAGATATCCAGTCAATGGAATACTTAACACGGTTTATGTATGTGCACTGGAACACGTCGCGAACTCGACATTCTATTGCTACTTTATATATATATATAGATATACATAGTATACCGATATATAATATAATGTTTTCTACTATGGTTAGCGAGGCGAACGCCATACCTTCGTTGTGTGAGTTGACTAATTTATTCTCCGCGTAGTACGAACGCGGTGAGTGCACGTGGAAAAAAACATGTTTACGTAGAGTTTAGAAAGTAGCTGTATTACGTCCAGTAAAAACTTTTTCTATGAGCGTTTTATACCGATAAAAATGTTGTTGTGTTTTCTCGCAATGGAGAATGGTCACTTTTTAACACGTTTCGCTGGATTGATCATGTTGTCGCCGTAGTTGGGGTAGGCCGGAAAACAGTCGTGCGCGGTTTTCATATTGTATGATCCGTTGGAAAGATACAGCGTGGTTGATGAAGTGAGCCCCTTGACAATCGGGTCCTATCGACGTTTTAGAAACAGAGAAATTAGAACAGAAAGACATTGAACTGAAACAGAATTTATACAGTCCATACTCCCCCAAATTAGACCCAAGAACTCTTTATATACCATCTTTTGGTCAATTCCATAACCATGTTGTATCTGTTCGAATGATAATACGAGATCAGCTGTCCACCCAGTGGATACAACCTGCATTTGATTTCTCTGTACCGAGTGTCACTATTGTACACATCATTTCACCCGAGGAAAACTTAAAGAGAGTGGTATATTTAAATGTTATACTGGTAAGGGCATCATGTGGCCTTTCCACTGGACCTAGAGACTGATATTGTTTAGAACAGAAACAGCTGTATTCGAACGTATTCGACGACTATACTCGGCATAAATTTTCCACGGCTTTTATAGTCACGAAACTTTTTCTCAACGGCGTCAGTGAAAGACGAAACACTGTCAACAGAATTGTTGTAAATTTTCATATTTGTGGTGCCTGTTGAATTATTAGTATCATTTCGTCGATATTTGAGTAAGAAGTCTAAATGGGCACAATCTCTACCGTGATCGAACAGTTTCTTTCTGGAAAATGAAAGGATACATATGTTCAAAATTTTAACATTTATCTTATTTCAGAATCGAATTCTTTGTCGGGAGACGCTGCGTTTCGTGTTTTCGAATAGATTGAGATAATAGATGTTCCCAGATATGAAAGGACCCGTTACGAATGTAATAATGGTATTTCACCGAATTATACTTAATACCCTGGTTTGTGAAACAATGTAAAGCTATTAACGAAAAATGTACAGAGGTATACAAATTGTTAGAGTCAAAGTGAAAGAGTTAAGATCTTCAGAACCAATATAAACTTAAATTCAAATTGTAAAGCAGAATATGATAGTTCTTTTGCTGTAAATTCTGCTCCTCTATAATTTGTACACCTCTGTCAGTGTTAAGATGGTAGAATTGATAAGGAGTCGAGCTGTATGTTCCACAGCCTATAAATGTTTACCGTCGCAATTATCGATCGAGTAGTTCTTCACGATAACTTTCACCGCATTTTCGCTACTTCTATTAGATAGTTATTTTTACCACTCCATACAATCGTATTGTTCATAAGCCGTAGTACCTCTGCAAACAATACTTTCAACTGTATTGCCGTGTAACGTAATAATCGTTAACACCGATCGTACATTTTGACTCGTATATTTAGGCACGGCTTCGTTACTGTCATTAGTCACATCGTGCAACAATCCCGTTCGATCAATCTTCCAGATCATAGATCGGTCCTTCATTGTCCAAACACCGCGTCTCTCGGCTTGGGGACAAGTTTCGAGTACGACGACCATTTAAAAACGTTTCTTTTCGTTCTGTCTTCGCCGACGAACGCGCGTTTCTTTCGGAAAGTAGGGCCTGATTATTCACCGTTTCTGAAATTCGTTTCGTCGTGGCTCCGTTCAAATGAAATTTTACTAAATCTGTGATATAGCGACAGACCTCATGTTTTGATACAGAGTTTGAGTGTTGCGCGGGGCTACCACGAAATAACTGAACGTGCCGGGGAAGCTGCTGGACACAACCGTTCGTAGATGTTTAAACGAAATGATAAAACTGATAAACAGTCGTCACGTGATGCGCACACCAAATAGATGGATATTTTTTACGGGCAATTTTAGGCTTTCGTCGAGGGTTCTTACAGTACACACAGCGCGTCAACATGGTTCACACTCGTACCTAAAGTAAAAAATGAAAAGAAAAGAAGAAACGGATCAATATATCGTCATTGTTTACGTACCAAAGCTTATTATCATTAAGTAATTTAACGGTTACTTTGTATCATTGTATTAAGTATCATAAGCCTATGCAGATAAATATATTATGTATCATACGGAACAGGAAAGTGTTTGGTGACCTTAACAAACGACCTTTACGCACGTACAAGTAGAAGCTCGGGAATTTGAATGATACAAATCACATTAATAATTCCAAGAAATTTATTTTAGTACCAATCTCTCATTTCGCAATACAAAAATTTGTAAATAAAAGATATTAAACCTTTTTTTCCTTTTTGTTCGTTAGAAACGAAACGAATTAGTTAGGACACAAACGATTTTTAGAGAAAGAAACAAACCCGCACATCGTTTTTGTTATCTTCGTGTTTTATTTATTTTTTTTTTTGTTCACTCTTTTTCTTTCTTCTTATCACTTTTTCTAAAACGATATCGAAATCGAATCATTTTTAATACTTTCTACAGAGACGCATTTTCTTATTCTTTCTGTTTTTTTTTGTGTTTTTTAACCCTATATTATGTATAATTTAGGTACCAAATTAAATTGGTTTTTGTAGCAAACATATAGTATTTAGACTCGTTGTCATGCACAAACGCTGCATGCTAGTCCTTGAAAAACTGTATAAGAAATCTGCCAGTAACTCAACACGTTACAATTAAATGTACATCATTTCTGCCATGTGCGACATCTTCTTTGGAATATGAACAAACTCCTCGAAGTAGCTGGCAAGTTCATCGATAGTGACGTCGCACGAGGGCGGTGATATTCGCGCTTGTACCGAACATGTATTTGAACTTGAAGGCTGACCAGACGAACCACTTGTCTCCGACTGGCTGCTGCTGGTGCTGCCTCCACCTGGACCAGGCCCTCTTTTTAAGCTTGGCATCGTATTGCTACGTGCTCTTTGAAAACTACTGGCCTGGTAATTATCTTGGATGCTAGTATCGTCTTTAGCCTGTCTAGTATCCTGACTAATGTTTAGCGTTTTAAAGTCCTTTGTCACTGACCCTTGACCAAAAACCTTTGTGTTCTTCCAGGGAATACTAAATTTACATGTCTCCTTAATCAGTGTACTTGCTACATTATCACTAAGACAGTTAGTGCCGGTATCGTTTAACTTTAAAACAGCCTCTTTGATTATCGAATTCTTATTCTTATCAAGTACTCTTTCATTCTTTGATGGTTTGAAGTTCGTTGTGCTTTTTATGCCCTTAGGGCCAATCGAGGTCAACGTTGGCCTACTGGGCATTGATCTTCTTTGAAACAGATAATTACAATCGGACCCGACACTTTTACTTGTACTTCTAAACATATTCGGTGACTTCGCTGTGTCAGTGGTGGTAATGCTGAAACAACAGAGATGTTCACGATTAATCACTCTCCAAAAGAATAATCATGGTAAACAAAAACAATTATATCACTGTTCAGGTGTTACATCTAATATAAACAAGAGACTATATTCATAAACATTGACAGGACCATTGTAAAAGAATTATCTAATATCATCCAATGATGATTCATCATTCCTGGTACTCAGTACTGAATCGAATATTGGTAAATATCAGTTCGTTTGTCGTTTATGCATTGACGTGAAACCGGGGGAACTCACGCCCGAACGGTTCAAAGTGCAGCTTCGCATCGATTTAAAAGGCAACAACAAACAAGAAATTTACTTTCATGTCACAAACACACTTCGGCGGAACTTGTATGAAACTTCTTTAAGGGCACGTCGTTAACGGGGCAAATCTTTATGGATAACACAATAATAACAACGAAAGTCACGAGGTATAGTAACGTTCCATGGATCTCCCCTCTGGTATGTAAACATTTCAATTCCCTTACGGATGACGGTTAACCGTGTGCTCCGTCTGGTACGTCGACACCAAGAAACGACGGTCGTTGAAATGCGTGCTGGCGAGCGGTTGCATCATTTAATAAATCGAAGGCACGCGCGATGTAAACAGAGGGAGCGAGAACGAGCGAGAGAGATGGTCATGTACTTAATCGAAACGGGGTAACGTTAATCGAAGACCTTGACCGCGCATGAAAAGGGATTGAGTCGCAATACTGCTACGATCCGATATATCGAACGCGCGTCGAGGATTCCCGGGGGGGTAAGACTCGAGGTAATCCCGGACCCGGGACCGTTCGCGTGGAGCAGGCGCTTTTGAATGATCAATGCCGACAGAGGACCGAGAGAGCTCCGTCGAGAATTGCTTACTGAGGACAGCTCGACGAGAGACGATCAATTTCGAGTTTCTCCAAACTCGCCGGCAGCACCTCGTCGGCCATGCTCGCGATTTTGCACGTTTCTGTGCTCAGCGTTTGCGGGAACATGGCATCATGCCGAACCACTGTTGGGAAACAAACGTTGACAGCCCGTCGGAATATTCCAGAATGTAAGATACAATGTTTCGGGGAAATAGGTTAGAACGACGATGACGACAGCCAACGCGAACGATTTTGTACGTCGACATTCACCACATTTTCGTTCACACTTCATACAACGTCTTATTGTCTGTCACGCGTACACCATTTCGAACTTGCTGTTCCAACGGTCACTCGACAGTTATTGCTCGTGGACGCGAGTTCGCGATCAATTAATCATCGACAGCACGTAAATAAACAGAGTTTTGCGCGCAACTGCCATTCTACTGCTACTCGATACCGGAAGCAACGATCGCAGATGGCGCCACCGTATCGTTGTCCCGCGTCAAGTGGTCGCCATTTAAATCGTTCGAGGGTTTATTCTACCTGTCCTACAAAAAGGTAGTGACCCAAAGCTGGTGATTACATTATTCACGGAGCTGGAAGTCGGTGAAGTACGTCTAACGTAATTTAACAAAATTCTTGAAGTGAATTTCTTGTACAGAGTGTTTGTGTTCTTTTTATAAAATTCGTGTATTGCGTGTGTGGATGGTGTGTAAATAAAGATACAAGAGGAAACAGACTTTGGAGCGGTTTCGTTTAAACAAGGAAATTGCTGATCGACTGTCTATAGTGCTGGCGTTAATAAAGAATATGTGAGTACGTATTATAATAAAGCTTTTCAATTAAATATTTTATTTAGAGAACTTTTGTGCTGTTAGTGTATAGTGTTGTCTTTTAAGAGGATGTTATGGAGGAAGAGATATAGATTTTTATTAGTTTCTTCTTAAATATATACAGTGGATACTTAAATTGATTTACAGAATAGATAACAACATTAGATACATGTAAAAAACGAAGTTTCTGAGTGTGTAATTGTTTCTTAACCTCACTTCAAATGTGTGCAGAGTTCTCTTTGTTATCTTACATGTCTGATTTGGTGTGACCTTGGAGGTTATTCCGCCATATTGTTTTACAAATTGCTTATTCAAATCAAAACAGTTTCTTCTATTTTGAAAACTTATTTCAACCATTAAATATTGACTAATAAGAACAAGGATATTTGTTGCATCTCATTGATTTGTTTGCAAATATGTATATTTAAAGCTCACATATAAAGATAGCAAATTATTTGCATTTTCTTATTGTAATTGCTTGAATCTTTAAATCTCTACATATTTATACTAGACATAAAAGAAATCATTACTTTTCCCAGTTAGTTTTGAATAATATTTAACATTGGCTTTTATAATTTTGGTTCTAAACCTTTTTTGTAAATATACATCTGCCTTTTGTATATTTCGTATTTCCTATTGGTGTTTCTTGACTAGTTTTCCTTTAGTATGTTATAATTTCACAAGAACACTGGAATACGTACTAAGAAAAGCCCCGTTTATCGAAATTGCAAAGTGTTTGTCAAATTTACGAGCGATGACGTTCTCCTAGGGTGGAATCGCGTGCAATTCTCGATTAATGGATCGCCGCATTGCATTTATAAGCTGTGCATAAGTTGCCAAGATTTAACTAGAACGGTAATATCGATCAAACATATCTTAGCGGTCATTAAGGATATCGTGATTTCCTGAAAGCTCGGAACCGAGCCTCACGGGATCGATTTAATCCGCGATTAAGAGCGGAATATAGCAAAACGAGATAGAGCCGAAACGTTTCATACTTGGAAGTCACGTCAGAAGCACGCCTCGCGTGATCCTGACATAAAGTGCAACCGAAAGCAAATTTATTCCCCATTATTTATGGATATATATAGGGTGAACCATGAATCGTGATCAGTAGAGATTACTCTGTTATTACTAGTCCGATAAAAAATGTTTTTATCAGGTATAGCATGGTTTCAAGAGAGTTTTAACGTGATTACAGCACATTTTTTGTCAACTCTTTTTTTCCATAATTTTTCAAGGTCACCTTAAATTTTTTGCAAATACACCTATAATTTTTTTACGCCTATCTGTTAGAGGATTTCGAGACGAATTAGATTTTTCAAGGTCACCTTAAATTTTTTGCAAATACACCTACAATTTTTTTACGCCTATCTGTTAGAGGATTTCGAGACGAATTCGGTATTATAACATAACATGTGTTAGGTGTAAAAAAATTATACGTGTATTTGAATAAAATTGAATGTGATCTTGAAAAATCATGAAAAAAAAGAGTTGACAAAAATTTGCTATAATAACAGAGTAATCTCTATTGATCACGATTCGTGGTTCACCCTGTATATATACGTGGTATCGTTGTATACACTGCAAGGTATCTAGGTATGTATTTTGTTTCCTCCAAACGGCCTTAACGCCAAAATGGCCCCCCGTTAATGATGTGCTTCCTCGCGTTCTTAAACGCCGCGGTTTTAATTGTTTCCTTTCTGAATTAACGAGCACCGTGAGCTGGAGGTATATCTGAATGGAATTTATTCGGTAGAACGCGACGCGTCACGGATCGTTTGACGGGAAAAAATTCGCGTGGCGGAATTTTTAACGGCTTCAATGTGTCACGCGTGTGCTGTTTGCGACAGTTTATAGGGCACGCGATTTTCTGTTTTCTATTTTAAATTTTCGACGACTGATGAACTAAGTAGAATTCTGTTTTTTCTAAAAAATGTAAGTGAACTTGAAGTACCTTATTGATAAAAATTTGTTGTGTTCTTCAGTCTCCTTTCCTGATGGGTCATTCCACACGAATTCTGTCACTTTTTGGAGTAACATTTCGGATTTTGTTGAAACTTGAATATATTTTAGCTTTCAATGATATATAAACGTATTTCGATGAACTGTCGGAAATTTTTAAAATTGAAAAATTTTGACACTATATTTCAAACAGCTGTAAAATTAACAATTAAAAAAATTTTTTAAAATCCTTCGAAACACGTTTATATATCATTGGAGACTGCAACATATTCAAGTTTCAACAAACTCCGAAATTTTACTCGAAAAAATGTTCGATTTCATGTTGAATGACTGATAGATTTAATTAAGCTTGTAGATTTTTCAAAGATTCAGGGAGTACATAGTTTTATAAATAATTGATAACACTTTTGACTGAATTGTTTTTCTATTAATTATTATACGTTACTCGTTTCTCCAATCTACATTGTTGAATAATCGTTTATTACGGTGTACAAATTTATACTAGAATTTTAACGTAAACCATGGAAACTTACCAGCGAAAGAGTGCTGCTCCCGTTTTTGCGTAATAACAATCGATGAATCAGGCAACGTGGCTAACAAGGCACGATGCACTCCGCGAGAGAAGCTTTATTTTAGCGTGTGAGCGAAATATTTACGAATTCCTCGTGTCGGAAAGCACTCAAGAACCTCGGAATGCGTGCGGCTGACACAACTGGAACCGGCGTTGATTCCATTCAACCATATTCTCACGTTTCTTCGTCTATTCTCGGCAACCTAGAGGGATTCTTCTCTCCATCGAGTAATCTTTCAGTTTCGTTTAGTGCGTGTTTACATACGATGTAAATAATATATTCTGAGAGTACAATATTTTCAATTCGAAACATTACATTGAATATGGCCGCTATTGGAAGGCATGAACACTTGTAGGAACACCTAATTATCCGTTCAACCAGACGAGTCAATAAGAATAACCAAAACATTTGCGTGCTGAGCTCAGGTACTGTGTGGCAACTGGCTCTGTCCCTGTCCCATTTAAATGATCATCACCTCCCTTTGTTTGTAATTTACTGACTAGACTTGTTGAATGAGGTATAGGTCTCTTTTTGATCATTTAACACTGAATTTCAGACGAGTATAGTAACAGTATAAATTAGGCCCACAATTTAAAGAATTTTTTGACAAACGTACTTAAATATTCCTGTAGGGGAGGTGGACAAAATACAGGCTAGGGACTAAATGTGGTTAATAATACATTGGGTTTCATAACCATTATTTCCTAAATTTCTATATTAATAGTACAAAATATAAATACAATGTGTTCTGTGTTTCTTGAACATTTGAAAATGTATGAAAAGTATTATATATGACTTTCATTATCGAAGAATTTGTTTACCCCTGGTATAGAGTCATGTTAACTACTTCACTATAGCGGGAATAGTGAGAAACTACAACCCAAAAACAAAAGAAGCTTATTTTAACCCCACGATTAGATAGATTGAAGTTTTACATCTTAAAAATCTTCAACAGGTTTGACAATAAGTTTTGAAGTACAGACTCCACTCGATTATCGTCTGGCTTGTTCTACACGATTATTGTCCAGGCGTTATCCCCACCACTGGGGTTGGGGGAGTTTTTATCTTTCTTATCCCTTCGTTTTTTTTGCCGAGGTTCGAAGGCTTCGAAGGAAAAACGAATTAGCAAAGGTTTGAAGCATTTCTTCCTATAAGTCTGTAGAAGTGCTAGCCCATATTTAGACCACCTCCTCTACTATTTTAAAACATCATTTCACAGCAAACCATCTTAACATTAGGGGAGATCGGGGCAGATTGTAACAAAAAAAATTTTCACAATTTTTTCTGAAAAGTGTATTCCTCAATCAGGAAATAATTTGCGTGACTTACTGCTCAGATCTTTGGTCAACTAATTGAGTGTAAACATGTGACAAAATCTTTGATACTTAGACATCTATGTTCATCTTAAACAGATCTGAACTTTTGTTAGAATGTGCTCCAGTCAGGGGTAAATTGTAACACGTCTGTTTTATTTAGTTGAACACAAATATGAATACAAATAAACATTTCCAAAGAATATAAATGAAAATGCATGTCATTATTAAGCATTTGAAATATTTGGATTAAACAATTATTATTTATTCACTGACAAATACAAGGAATATTTCTGTCAGTGCAGTGTTCATATCTTCTTTAGAAGTAGAACCTTTTCTTGTTCTTTTCTTGTATGTTCTCATCCTAAAAGTAACTAATATTTCAGCAAATAGCAAGTTTGCTTTATTACCATTTAGTAATATGTTACATTTTGCCCCAAGCAATTTGTTACAAATTACCCCAAGCTTTAATTTTTCGGTTTTGTCTCAACAAACGAGAAACTAAACATTAAACTATAATAAACCAATATATAATGATTCGTTTGCGCCAAAGAAGCAAAAATTTAAACGGTGTCTGATGGTGTTTAATTGATATAAAAATGCTAGGACAAAGCTGACATGCTCCAAATAATAAAAATCCAACCAGTAGCTACAAAACAGACACTTGATGATCGATTGTTGCAATGAAACAACCGAAATCAATATTTTCAAACCGCTCTGGCATCCTGCTA